AATATACACGTATGTATTAATATTAATTAATAAAAGTTGATAGGCTTAATTAAACCACATCAACACACATAAAATAATATTGCATAATTTCATCATTCACAACATTAGTTTGTCTCATCTCAAATTAGGTAAATATTCATTCTAAGCCAAAGAATTTGCCACATTCTTTTTTTAATTGTTCATTACTTTGAAGTCTCAATAGGGGCTCTCAAATAAAAATTTCTCAACACTTTTAGCTTTTATTGTCAACCTAGAGATATCTTTTGTTTCTTTTTAGTCTTTTAATATACTTCAACCATTTGCTAAAGTGATATGGAGAAAAGCTCTAGCTTGTTAAGGTAGTTGAGGAATCTCTCAATTTCTCACTTTTAGCAGAAACTTGAATCAAAGACAATAATATATACATATAGAGTAAAAAGATCACTAACTCTTACCAAAAAAAAAGAAGCATAAAACTTATAGAAAGATGAGAAAAAATGCAAAGAAAAAGAAGTGTCTTTCCCCACATGCACCCCCAACCAAAAAAAAAAAGGTAAGAAAGAAAGAATAAGAAAAGATATTAGAAAGAAACCTCAAAATTTGCTAATTATTTCTCCTTCTAAATAAATGAAAACAAATAATCTCTTAACCATTTTATGGAGTTATACATGTTATAATTAGGATTACATATTTTGGACATGAAAAAAAAAGTAATATATATATCTTAGCTTGATGACACATTATTGACATTGTTGGTTTTGATTATATCTTCATGATGAGTAAATTATTCCAAAGAACATTCTCACACATATAAAGACCTAATTCTACTGACCAAATTACATAAAGCTAAAGTTGTAAATTAAAGTTTGGAAACAAATTAAAGAGATTTTTCTAAAGCAAAAGTGCCCCTCTCTCCAATATCTTTGCCATTTTCATCTACTCCCCTTGAAAATTAAGGTTAATTATATAATGTTTGTAGTTAAAATATCTTACTATTCACATGCGATTGGATGATACATACAAATTGACACGAAGTTATCAACACTGTCGTATAAAATAAAATTGAAAAACAAAAGAGATATCAAGCCACAAATGATATACTCCCTCCATCTCAATTTAAGTAAGACTTTTGAATCTTAAATTAAAAAATGCGTATTCCTTTAATGTTATGATCTCAATTAAGTCAAAACATTAACTCGTATATAATAAAAACAAAAAACATGCATATTTTATATGTTTATTGAGCACCTTAATTTTGGTAGTACATGCTAAAGGAAATCCAAAGCTTTTCCTTTTATCCATCTCCAATTATACAAAAGCTCTCACCTCAAACTAAATTTATTTATTCCCCATTTCCTTTTATCATTTTTCCCACTCATTTTCTTTTGGACGTCTAAATATAGAGTCCTGAGTCTAAAGGGTATAAAATATTAATAAAAATTTTAAAATGGTATATAAAATTTTATACTAATCAAAGCGATAAAATCGCTAAAATAACATCGATTTCTTTTACCGAAAAAAGCAAAATCACTACAGTAGACAGCAATTTTACTTTTTCGATAGAGGAAATTGCCGACTCTCTAAACATATATGGTCAAGAAGACTCATGCCCACTTGACCATGATTAGATTCTAATCATGGAAATGAGGGCCAAATTAATGGAAATATAGTATATGTTAATGCATTTTTTTTTATGATTATATGGTATACATTAAGAATATCGACAAATTAGGTTCGTTTTTAAAAAGGAAACACTCCTTAGCACGAAAATCAAGTAGTATTGCATATAATTTTAGTCACTAAACAAATCTTTTTATTGTGTGGACTTTATACTATGCATCATTGCTCAGCATTCCATTTCATTCAATTATTAATATTTCAACTAATCATAGTATATGCTAGAACATAATATCCAAATTAGAGACATTGGTCTTGAACGGATTAGCCAGTTTTAGATGTATTCAACTTTTTTTTTTCTTTTCTGGACAACTTTTATAGTGAGGAAAATGGTGGATGAGTATTCATCAAAAGCCACAAAAGATAAAATTTATGTATGGTAGAAAAGACAATTTATGAGTTAATCCATGAACATGTGCCGCAAATTGCTTTTTTGGCTTTATTCTTTACCACTTTCAACAAGGCTGACCTCCAACTAATATTCTAATATCCTTCCTTAAAATAAAATGCTTTAAAACTTTGGCTTTTTGTGTCAATCTGGCTCCTTGCTTCTTTTTTCTTTTTTTTACCTAATTATAAAACACATAACATATATGAACATATAACAAATGTGAATGTGAAATAGCAGATGTGCTACCATAAAAATCTTTTAATCTGATAAAATTTAAGTTTGACATATATATAAAACCCAATTATTATTGAAATATGAGTCGTAACATAAATAAAAACCCAATAATTGAAGTAACTCATAAGTCATAATATTTGTACGTACATACATACATAACAACATCAACTCAACACGGGTCTATAAAGTCTTTAAGATAAGATTGGAACTATATAAGTGTAGAGACAGGACCCCGACCTACTATATTTGTATGTATGAAGTATGAACCTATAGTGTGAGTGCAGCATTTTTTGATAAAAGAGACGTAAGTACCTACAAAATAATACTCGTATGATACGTGTTAAAGAATGACAAAAGGTTTCATATTGATGATTATAAAAAAGGTGGACTCCTTATAATATTTTTAGGATGTTAGTTATACTTAAGATCTAACTTAACAATAATAAAGACAAAATAACATAAAATATACACTAAAGGGAAATACATTTAATTAAGAGAGAACCATTTGTTAAATTGAAACACAAAGGGAAATAAATTAAGGCTCAAGCTTGTCAATATTGTAAGGTGGTAATTAATTATAAAAAATTGAGGAATCCCTTTTTTCATATTTACAAGATACTTTTATTAAGTAAAGATGGGGAAAAGAAACCTCAAATATATTTGCCTTTGTTGAAGCTCAAAAAATAAATTTATCCAAAAGAAATTTTGTTTGAAAGACTTTTTATTTTTTAAAATAAACTTTGGATTATGTTCGGCCAGTATTTTAAAGGCAAGAAACTAATAATTAGCATATCTCAATTTAGCCAAAATAGTAACATACAATTGTCCAATTTCCCAGCCATAATAGGCTAGTCGATTTCTTCTCTTTAATTTGTAAATGAAAATAATCCCCTTATTCAATTTATCTGCTCTTGATATATGCAAGCTATATAGTCATAGTAATTAATATATACCAAAGTTTAATAAGTACTCATAAAATTAAAGCTGAAATAATTATTTATCAATTTACAATGATCGTATGTAGCTTTTATTAATTCATGTGTACATGAAAGATGATTAGGAGAAAATGTGATTAGTGTCATGATGAGTAAATAATTCCATAGAACATTCTCTAACATACAAAGACCCAATTCTACTGAAACTTAAAAGCTAAAGCTGCATATTCAAGTTTGAAAAATAAATATTCACTCTGTTTAAAAAAGAATGACCTCATTTTCTTTTTAGTCTATTTCAAAAAGAATAATCTATTTTTTTTCATAACATTTTAATTTTAAACTTTTCACGTGACATATTTAAGACCAGAAAATTAAAGAACAATTTTTACATTTCACATAACTTCAATTTAGAACCACGAGATTTAAAAATCTCCTTTTAAATTTTTTAAATTTCGTGTTATACCAGGGCACTCTCTTTCAAACGAAGCGAGTAATTGTCTAAAGCAAGCAAATTAAGGCCCCTGTTTTTTCTTCTTCAAATTCCAATGTCTTCGTGTACGTGTGCCACTAATATATATATATATATATATATATAAAATTCTCCTTACATTGAACTTTCATCGATAATAAACGAAGTTTTTTGTCTTGGGCTGATCAATAAAAAACGATATTAATTCATTATTAATTTGAAGTAAATCATGTCATGATGGGTAATAATAATGAAAAATTAAACTACAGTTGAGTCAAAACTTAATGGGACAAGCTAGGACAAAGTAAGCATATAACTATTCATATAGTGGAGTTAGAAGTTATAATTAATTGACTTAAGTTTGGGTGTCAAATGATCGATTGTTAAATTTGAGAAGGTTAAAATGGACTAAATAATTAATGAAAATGTCACTCGCAGATTGGATCAACATATAATCTAAATAATTGGTTTTAGTCCAACTCATCTAATTCATTTTACCAAGTTTTAAATTTATTTGTTTAATTATTAAACAATACTAACCAAAAAAAAGAAGATTTTTTCATGTATAATATATATCCAACAAAATATTTGACTATAGCACAAATGTATTAAGGACTAATTTTTAAAGTCAAATTACATTATGTTAATTTGATATTTTTTTAAAAAAAAAATGTTTAAAAATTATGCAAAAAGTATCATAAATCGTAATTTTTTATATATCAATGTGATAAAAATATACATAGTAAAATGTTTGTCAAAGTTCTTATAGTTTGACTTTATAATAGAAAATCATGACAATTAATTGTGGACGGAGGAATATAAAATTATAGAAAAAGAATTTTACCATACTTATATTTTAATTGAGTCGAGAATTTATAAAATAACTTTTATTAACTTCACAAAATAGAGGTAAATTGTGATAATTTACATTCCGTAGATTTTAAGTAGCAGGATTAATTATATTAAACATGTTATTGATAGTTGGTTTAATGAAAATTTTTAGCTAAAAACATTCTTAAATTATACTCCAACTTAAACTATATCCTTAAATCATCTTTCTTAACCAAAAAACATTCTTCGACTATTCAAAACTTAACAATTGTTATCCCTCTAATAAAATTTGTCAAAAACATAGTAAATTCCACACAAAAATATATGTGAAAGTACAGTTTAAAAATGTTTTTAACTAAAAAATCGTTTTAACGACGTTATATTGGTTCGCAAATTGCACGGAAAGAGAAAAGTAAAAGACCAGTGTCGGCTCCATTCCTATCTTTTGCTTTTACTTTTGTTTACACTCTTCTTTTCAGCGTTCAACACAGTCACTTTTTTTAATCAAAATTAAACTATATTTACACCCACCAAATTATACTCTTATCTCCCAAACTTCATCTCCATTTCTCTCTTCTCTCTTCTCCAACAAACAATCATCAAACATGGAGATATTGTCACAAATCTGGTCCTTCTTAGGCCTACTAACAGTTGTTCAAAACGTTTTGCCAACTCAGCTTCTATCCTTATTTCATTCTTTCTACGAATCTATTCAAGATTTCTTCAGCCCTTATTCCTACTTCGAAATCCCTGAATTTAACGGTTATTGTGGCGTTGACGTTAACGATCTTTATCGACACGTAAATCTTTACTTGAACTCCATTAATTCCTCTTCCACTTGCCGTCGTCTTACTCTCTCTCGCTCTAAATCTTCCAACCGCATTTCCTACACCGTTGCGCCTAATCAGATGGTGCACGACGCTTTCCGCGGACACCACCTTACTTGGACGCATCAAGTCGATAACGTTCAGGATTCTGTTGAGGAGAAGCGTAGCTTCACCCTCAAACTCCCTAAACGTCATCGACTTGAGCTCCTCCCTCCTTACCTCGAGCAGCTAACTGCTCGAGCTGAGGAGTTCGAGAGAGTCTCTCGTGAGAGGAGGCTTTTTACGAATAACGGTCATGGTTCGTATGAATCTGGCTGGTCTTCTGTTCCCTTTCGTCACCCTTCCACGTTCGAGACACTCGCTCTCGAACCGGACCTGAAAACACAACTCATGGATGACCTAACTGCATTTTCACAAGGGAAAGAGTTTTATCATAATATCGGACGTGCATGGAAGCGTGGATATTTGCTGTATGGACCTCCAGGGTCTGGAAAATCTAGCCTCATTGCTGCTATGGCGAACTTTCTGTGCTACGACGTGTATGATCTCGAGTTAAGCAAAGTCTCTGACAACTCTGAGCTCAGAGCTTTACTCATACAAACAACGAATCGATCCATTATTGTTATTGAGGACATTGATTGTTCTATTAACTTAACGGGGGATAGGATGGCGAAAATGAGGAGCAATCATAAAAAGAATCGTAATGTGATGATGAGCGATAACGCTGAAGATAACGGACGTGTGACGTTATCTGGCTTGTTAAACTTCACCGATGGGCTATGGTCGTGTTGTGGAGAAGAAAAGGTTATTGTTTTCACTACGAACCACAAAGACAATGTAGACCCGGCGTTGGTTAGATGTGGGAGGATGGACATGCATGTTAGCCTTGGCACGTGTGGGATGCATGCCTTCAAAGTCTTGGTGAAGAATTACCTAGGTTTAGACTCGCACGTGCTATTCGACGTCGTGGAGAGCTGCATAAGGTCAGGTGGGACCCTCACGCCAGCTCATATAGGAGAGATCTTGTTGAGGAACAGGAGGGATGCTGATGTGGCGGTGAAGTCCGTGTTGACCGCCATGCAAGCAAAGATATTAGGTGCTGACGTGGATGCTACGGAGGGCGGACACGAGAACGATGACATGGCAAGGACGCCGGAGAGCATAGGTCGGAGGATGATGGAGTCGCCGGATCATTGGCCGGAAGGTTCACCGGAGAAAAAGAAGAAGAAAGAAGGGTCAACTAGGGATAAAAATGTCAAATTCTTAGTAAGACTTAGATCGTTGACCAAGTCAGACTCAGGAAGAAGAGGTGTGTAAATGTAATAAATGGATGATTATCTAACATTTTAAGTTAGGTTAATGAGAAATGTTAATCTAGTTTACGTACGAGTGTTTTGAAATGGAAGTTTTGGCTGGATTTGAGTACCCCATTTTATTAAAAGATATGTGGTGTTCACTTTAGGGAACATTTAGATATTATATATTTCAATATTAGTCAAATGAATAGTCCATAAAGAAGTAAACTTGACCTTAGATGAACGTAAAGGTCAAGATACATAATAGTTATTTTTGGGAGAGAAAGTACAATACGGTTATTATAAGAATTGAGAAGAGGCATTTAGAAGAAAAGGCACAAGAGCTTTGCCAACTGGCTGTCAGGCCCTGGGCCAGTAGTGTAATGTTATCGTTAACTAATCCTTATCAAAATTGTCAGATAAATAGTCTCTGTTGTTGTAATATATTATTTCGATTTTAATTTTCATGTAGGATTCGCTAGTTTGATGTGAAGAATAAAAGAAAACTACTTTCATAATCAATTGGGAAAACACATCAAAAAAAAATCATAAGATTGACAGCACAACATATATAGCACTTAAAATTGTACGGAACTTTTAAAATTCATTTTAATATCTTTGAAATGATTTTTTAAAATTTTGAAATTATAACATCATTTACATCTGATATATCATGATAAACGTAAATATCATATCATAACTATTTAGATATCATAATTTATTTATTTATATTTATTCTACATTTTTTTGTCTAACACTTTTTAAATATAAATACTCCAATTAATTTATTTATAAATACATACTCCTCCCCTACCCCCCACCCCCTTTTTTTTCTTTTCTCTTGTTGTTCACCTTTTCAATTTTCAATACTTTCTTTGCTTTCTTCTTTCCTATTTAACAATTTTTAAATATATCTTTTAAAAAAAAGATTCATAATATCTTCCCACTAACTTTTCTGTTGGTGAATTAAAATTTTTTGAAAGTCAACTTTTTCTTGACAATTCTAATAAGAAACGAAGATGACATAAGAAAGTTGATAAAAAAAATTATAAATTTTATGACAAATGTTTAAATGGATCTAGAAATCAAAATGAGTCACTCAAAATTTAAGAGAGTTTATATTTGTAAAATTGACATCAACAATATAGAGTGAAATTGATGTCAATCAAATGACACTACTATTGAATTTACGCATTATTAAAGGACTAGTGAAATTAGAATAGTAAATATACATGGGATGAAAATAGAAGTTGAGATTTTTCAATAGAAAAAAACGTATATTGAAAAAGATAACAAAATAATTTTTAAAAAAAGTAATTAAATAGGAAACCGCCATTTTATTTACCTCCAAATAAGAGAATTTATATATTTTTAAAGAGTTAATATATTAAGAAAAACTATTTCAAATATTAGTTATATATTGATCAATAAAAAAATTTATGTGTAGGACTTTATAAAATGCATTTTTTTTCTTTTTTTCATGTGCTTTTATGAGAGTACACTTACTCTTTGAGTTAATATATTAAGAAAAACTATTTAAAATATTAATTATATATTGATCAATAAAAAAAATTATGTGTTGGATTTTACAAAATGTATTTTTTTTCTTTTTTTCATGTGCTTTTATGAGAGTACACTTACTCTTTCCGTCACATCATTCCTTACTATGTTTAAATGAGTAGAAGAATTAACGGAATATAAAATTGTATTCCCACATTAAGGGTGGTGAGATAACAATGGCATGTAATTAATCTTGGTTATTGGGATAACTTGTTATCCCTATCAAATGAGCCACAAGTAAATCAGATTTTCTGATTCTTTGTAATTTTAAACTAAATATATAAATACAATAGAGTATTTTTTTATTCTCGTGATTTAAACTAAATATGTCACATGATCGATAAATGATTTTTACTGTTCTTGATTATGAATAGAATGTTTTAGACGTCCGTGTACTAGTACATTTCGTTGATGTGGGCTAGTACTGGGTTACACTCCATGTTAAGCCAACCCCTCACCCCCCCCCCCCCACCCACCCACCATTGCACCTTGTAAACTTTTTTTATAAAAAATGTTTTTTGAAAAATATTGTCAGGATTGAAAGTTTTGAAATGATTATCAGGATCGTGTCCTAGTTTCAGTATCAATATCAGATCCTAGATCTATTATTGGGTCAGAATTTATTTTTTTAAAGAGTATTTTCTAGTCTCAATTCATAAATAAAACATATTTTCTGAAAAATGTATTTCATTCACTAACAAACTTTAAAAATTCACCAAGCAAACGTAAAAATATAAGCTTAAAATCTACTTCTTCTTTTTTCAAAAAACATTTTTTTTTCCTACCAAACGCACCCCTATTGTTTCATTTTCTTAATAGAGATATATGTAAGAATAAATTAAACTGAAGAGAATATATGCTACAAGAAAAGTCAGTCGGAAAGTCTAAGAGCATTTAAATTAAAAATTTGGACAAAGTAACAAAAAATATTCTAACTTGATGTTGAATAATAGTATTTACACTATCATCTTGTGTTTGAATCCTCGTCGCCGTGAAGGAAAAATTGGATTAAAATTGATCGTACATTAAAATATGCAATTTCAAGAAGCCATGGTGAAATTATATTCTTTCCCGTTAACATGGATCATAGTATAGTTCTGAAACTATTTTATCTTTGATCAAAGAGTCCATATTTAAATCTTGATATGAAGAAAAATATATTAGAAGTGACACCTTCAAATAAATCTTGCAGTGTGCAATTTAAATTTAACTGGACTCTAATAGAATTTCGAATATCAAATAAAGACCAATAGAAAAAAAAACTTTTATCTCCTTTTCAATTTATGCGATATATATTTTGACACAAAAGTTTTTAAAATATGAAAAGCTTTACAATTTTCAAAATTATTAATAAAATAAATAGATTTTTTAATAAAAAATGAATCTTTGACATATTTTTTTTATCAAATAAGTGGAACCTCAATAAAATATTAGTAATTTAAGTAAATATATATTTATTTATCAATATTAAGAAATATATAGTTTTTTTGGGGCGGAGGGGATAGTATTGATTGATTATAAAAAGTAGTGGTTGTCCTCAATCCTAATTACTTACACCATTGCACATCTTCTACTTTAGAATAAATATTCCCCCATTTAATAAAACGAAAAAATATACCCATAGATTATGGTGCTTTGAGCGGGATTATTTTTTCCTTGCTTAAATATCGAGAGTTGAGTTTTGAATATATAAAAAAAAAGAAGATGAGAGAGACAGCTTCTTTATAAATAAGATCGTACATAATACAAATTTAAAATGATTGAATTTTAATATGAATATTAAATAAAATTGAAAGAGCTTTTGGTAAAAAATATCTCTTAATTATAATTCAAAAAGTTTAATGTACATTCTTATATTATTTTAGTGAACAAAAAACATTTTATACCATTCAAAAAATAACATCAATTATTCTTCAGTATATTTTTGTTAAGAAGCTGATATAACCAATAAAAAAAATATTTTTAATTTGACTATGTCTTAACAACAACGAAAAGATCAAAGCTATCTAAAAGAATAAAGATATGGATATAAAATGAATATTTCATTCTCAGGATTTAAATTTTGTGTATCTTTAGTTTATATGTTTTTTACATCATTAAGCAATTAATTGACCTACAACAATACTAAGTTTTTGAAATATTTATAAAATAAATTTTGATAGTTAAAAGGATTATATAAAAGAATCATTTAAAAATATTACGTCCAACTGTTAAAAAATTTCTTTAATAAATATGAAAATAAAAAATATTTGGTGAAATTACGTCCAAATATAAAAAAGTTAATAAAAATAAAGAATATTACTTCCAACTGATAATTTAGTGAAATTAAGTAGGCATTTAGTTATGAAAATATAAAAGATATTGGAGTAGTGTTTGACAAAATTATTACAAAAGATATTTAGAATTTGAATATATTTTATCTGAACGCAAATTAAACTCTCAATTTTTAAAAATTAAAAAAATTATATAATTTGACTAACTCAATCAGGTATATATATTCATTTGATTTGACACTTCTTTTTATTAATGGCCTAAATTCTTTTTAAAAAATAAAATAATAAAACTTTCAAACTTTTTATATAATTTAATAATATTTTTTATTTACTTATATAATGTAACACTGTACTACTTTCGGTTTATATTTTATCTAAAAATTAAAATTGGAACAACATAAAAAAGTAGTGGTAATAGAAAATCAAGGGAGAGAACCACGTGCCATAATATGATATATTCATGCTCTAATGACAAGGTATCCACCGACTGTTTATACTTTCGCAAAGTATATCTTTATCTTAAAAATATGTTGGCGTAGTTTTTACATTCAAATTAATTTCTCAACCATAAATCCTGTTCCAATTTCCCCATCACTTGCATCAGTACCACATAATCATAAGAAACAATTTCTCAAACAGTTCAAAAAATTAAACAAAAATGGGAGTGGTGATTATCGACGGATCAACAATTCGAGATTTCGTCAACGACGAAGCGGCTTTCACAAAGTCAATTGATAAGGGATTTACCGATTTGGACCTCAATAACGACGGCGTTTTGTCACGATCCGAGCTCCGCAAAGCCTTCGAATCTCTCCATCTCATTGAATCTCACTTCGGCGTCGACGTCGCCGCCACGCCGGAGGAACTCACCGACCTCTACGATTCCATTTTCGAGAAGTTCGATTGCGACCACAACGGCACTGTCGACCGAGAGGAATTTGGGAACGAGATGAGGAAAATTATGCAGGCGATCGCTGATGGACTTGGTTCATCGCCGATTCAAATGGCGCTTGATGATAGTGAACAGAGTTTGATTAAGCAAGCTGCTGATCTCGAAGCTTCTAAGCTTCCTGCCTAACCGCTTTCGATTTGTTTTGCAATAAGTCCCTCTTTTTGTTGTTTAATTTCAACTTTGACATCTCCTAATTTGTTGTTTATATATGCCTTCGAATAAAAATGAGTTATCTAATATTTGATATTGCGTTTGAGGTAAGACTTCAACCAACTGATCTAATTCAACCAGATCAATTGTTCAATGTATTTCACATTATATGTTGGTCAATAATCGTTGGGTCAACTTAATTTTAGAATTAAATTAAAGAGAACATTTCAATCTCATCTTAATTTACAACGAATTTATATGAAATTCTTAGAAGAAAACATTATTGACCCATACATATCTTTGACATTTTTGTGGCTTATGGTGATTGGATTTGTTCCCTTTTGTGCATGTTGGTATTTTCATACCAACATATACCATTATATTGGATATGTTGAACTGACCAAGAATAATGTTTGAAGAAATGGTCATGATCGATATCGTATTAATAATCTTATCCATTTTTCTAACTCGTTAAAGTTTGACTTTACTACTCGGTCAAAATTGATACTCCATAACATACTTTTCTTTATTCTCTCCTAATTATTATGTTCTCTTATTTATAAATAATTTTATTTTTAATAATATTATGAAATTGATTAGAAAAATACATTTTATTTTTGGGTCAAGATTTACATTTAGCTAATTTGGGAAAAAGTTAATGAATAGCATATAGTAGAAATTGGACCTCTTTTTGATATAACTGATCATTGGATAGATTTTGAGAAAAATAAAATTTAGTAGTCTTAAATTCCTTATGAATATTTAAAATTTTATGAAATATTTAAGATGTCTTTTTATTTGAATATATTATTCTTTATACCTGCCTGAGCTAGAATTTCAGATAGAATTTCTTACAAATATCGAGAAAAAAAATTGAACCTGAGGCAAACAAAATGATCAATATGTTAAGCTTATAAAATAAGTGGTCACCGTAATCCATGACGAAGTGCATGTTCAGTGACGACTTCATTTTATCCACTCTTAATTTGAAGCAATTTTTAAAACAAGTTGGCAATTTATTTATGCGTTAAAGCAACAAATGGCTGTTAAAAAGCACACTTATTGTTATATTGAGGAACTTTCTGTTATTAATCTTGATGGTCAAGTACTCCCATTTCATCGACTCATTAATTGCAATTTATTTATGCGTTAAAGCAACAAATGGCTGTTAAAAAGCACACTTATTGTTATATTGAGGAACTTTCTGTTATTAATCTTGATGGTCAAGTACTCCCATTTCATCGACTCATTAATTATAGTATTGGGCTTACATTCACAAATTTTCAACATAATAATTATTTTACCCCTTTCTCCCTTCCAGTAAAAGAAAAAGAATAATTATTTAAGTTATATATAAGGAGTGAAAAAGAAGTTATGATTTAATATCAATTAAAATTATCTAATTATAACAGATTATTAATTAATTACTCAAACTCACTACGAAGATTTATGCATAATAAATACAAAAAATTCTAAATTCCGTAATTAAATTGAACTTATGAATTTTATAATTAATTGTTTCTTAGAAGGGACAAGAGAAAATTGTTGTTATTTTGTTCCAACAATTTTTTTTTAAAATAATAAAACTTGATAGAGAAAACATGTAGTCAAATTTGATGGAAATTTCCGCGTAGTCCTTTTACTTTTCAAAGTTGCTTCTTCACCATGGGCAAGTGGCGCCTAAATTGTTGCCTAATTTGAAAGTCACAAGTTTCATTTTTCTCCTATATATACACATCTTTTACGTACCATTTTTCTCATATTATCTCTCAACAACTTCCTTTTTCTCTAAAAAAAATTATTTTTTCTATAAGAATCTATTGTACGTAGTCTACGAGTAATGACGATCGATGAACATATGTTGATCAAAGTAGGACTATTTATTTTAGTCCAAGGTTTGGTTTATTTGATTCTATCAAAATCTTCAAACATATTCTCCAAGACACAGAGATCATACAGCTTTAAAACAGTTCGTTCTTTAAGTATTCGCCGGATTGCTGCTGCACTCGCCGACTTACCTGTCGGCGGTGAGCCATCTCCCTCTTCCTTCAAAGATCATCAGTTGAAGTCTTCTAAGTCTTTCAAATTATTCAAAGATAACAATTAGTAAAAATATTTTTTTTCTTATGTGAGCTGTTTTTGTATTCTTTGATTTGTTCATGGATAGTTAAATATCAAATTAGTTGGTGTGAATTTGGGATGTATAATATTCTCTCATTTTAAATCGTGTAAATTATATGTTGGTTGGTAATTGTAAAAATTTAAACGATGTCTGTTTTGATTACTCTATAATAATCGAATTAAATTTAATCTCCGATTGTAATCAAGTTCTTTTTGTTTTGTTTTCCCTTTTTAATGATAAGTTAAATATTAATTAGATTCATAAGAAAATAGCAACGTACTGTAGAAGGTTTAGTATGAAACGTACACTATTTTAATCTTAGATTAAATAAACGATCGTATGTTTTTATTTAATTTCCCCTCACAAGGCATGCAAGATGGTTGTTGATTTGCGACTTTGACAGCTTACTAACCACAGATATCCAAAAAGATCAGCACTAATTAATCACAATTAAAAATTAAAAATATCATCCTTGGCCTACATGTTGTGGTTCTTAATTTGCAAATATGGTAATTATGGAGGTTGAGTAGGTACTAGTCGTTATCTACGTTTTTAAAAAGCCATAATTAGCCCATAACTACTGGATTAATTTGGGTTGTATCTAAAAAAAATTTAAGCGTTTTACCATATATATGTCATAATGCATAAGGTACATAGAACGAAAATTCGTCTAGTTAAACTCTTGTTACGTGGTAACTTGTTGTCTCACTATCATTTTTGTTGTGTTGCAATAAAACTCTCAGATCAAAATTGGACTTGGATTGATTTGTCTTTTGATACTCTTAGCAATATGCATGTTGAATTATTTAAGTTGCAACTTTTTTTTATTTTTAGATGTATTGAATTATATTAGTGTTCGAATAAGTTTGTATGCACTATATCGACCTATATATATATATAGGGCAACACGCTAAAATCACTTACAAACACGTGTATCTCTAGTAAGATTAATCATGATTGGAACAGAATTAAATGGACTTATACTTGAGCATAGTATAGTTAGAATTTAACTTTGAGATATCTAGGCAATTTCTTGTAATAATGAAAAAAAAATATTATAACATAATTATCAACTTCACTTATTTAAATATACATTCTGAAGAAGTGAAAAACGTGAAAGATTTTGAAATAGATGAAATAATTCAAAAGTTGGATTTATATGTAACACGACTTATTAAATCATTTAAAATTGGATTGGTGTGTCGTCCTACTTGTAGTTGTTGATGCTTTTGTCTTTCTAATTAATTAATATGCCGTGTACAAAAGATACTTTAACACTATATCACAAGGGAAGATTAATGCTGGGTCAATCACGACCCTAGAAGTGTCATAGCTCAACTACTAACTAGATGGAATGTCTATGGGCTGGTTAGGATAAGTTACGGTAAAGATATGACATTTCGATCTAACTTAGTTTCAAAAGTTAGTTTATGAGAGGATGTTTGTTCAAGTCTATATAAGGAGATTGATTTTCTATCCCTCTATCGATATGCAACTTCTTAACATTCCGCCCCACGCCCAGACCTCAACTATGAACACTTCTAAATGTTGCCCAACATTGGTGAACAACGAATTGATTTGAGCCTGATTCTTATACCACGTAAAGATATGACACACGTAACTCAACAACAAAAACTAGTTCATGAGAGGAGGTTTGTCCAATTTCATATATATAAGGAGACCAATTTCTCATCCCTAGTGACGTGGAACAATTATGCCCTGACCTGCTAAATTTTGATCCGTCCTATTTTATTTTTTAAAACATTTTTCAAAAAGTTTGTTTTATCTTAAGTACTCTGCGTCAAGCTCCTACCTGTTCCTCAATGATTCATTTTAAGTTTCTAAAGTACTTGACTCGACCAATTCTATTTGACACTATAAATTTGTCTATTTTCACCCATATTTTACTACAGTTACACTCAATTTCCTAGAACTTGAGTTAAAAAGCATGCAAGTCATGTGTTACTAACCCTTAATTAATAAAACATACTATTGAAAAGTTAGGTACGTCTATGCCTATTTATTTAATAATCAAGTAGTAATTTTTATTTTATAATTTATAATTAATATATTTATCAATCTGATACCAACTCCTCTTCCAACACCCATACAATCAATATCTATA